TGTGATTGAATTAATTTATACACGACGACGAACCATCCAAGGCTGTTTAGCTTGTATTAATTGTAAAAGTTTTTAAAACTGAGATTTGATTAATGCGACAATTGTTTGTAAATTTCTCTACGTAGGCATTAAAAGTGCACCACCCCGGTTGTAAATCGCAACAAAGCTAAATTTCTTCTGGATCTGGGCCAGATAAGATTTGGGTTAACGCTTAAATATAAATCCATGGAAAGGGAACGTCTGGATGAAGGGGTTTTTAATAGTAAAATCCTCGAGGATCGCCAACCCCCGGGGTGCGGGGGCGGCGCATGCCCACGCCGCCCCCGTATCGACCAACCTACTTGCAAGCCCTGGGGATCAATGCGCCCCCCTCTCGGGCCCACTAGTTGCCTTGTCCAGGTCAGAACCCCCCACGTAAATATCAACAAACCCATGCTGATCTCTGAGTAAGTACAGATCGGTATTTGTTAGATTTTTAACGGGTTCCTGGGGCCGAGAAGGGCTGGCGAACGGGGCCGGGACGCCCCCGGACCGGGGGAGCAGAAGCGAGATCGGCCGCACCACGGTTTTCAGATGGCCTTCGAAAGGGGCGTCCTTCATTTTCCCGGTCGGGTCTCTTCCCTCAGAGCAGACCTTCAAATTGTACTCTGAGTGCCTTCAACTTACAACAAATAGTCCCAAATTTAACTCAGTTTTATTAGAAAAGTTCTTTCTCTTTTTATGGTAAAATAATAGCAAAAACAGCACACACCCTAAAAATTGCCATTCCCATGAAAATTCTTGATCACGAAATCCTTTTAAACTGTTTATTTTTGCAATTTCTCTCTTTTACATAAGAATTTTTTTTCTGCCTTTTTATGGAAAAATTGGTAGCATCACTCACCACCACACACTCTAAAGTCGCTCCATGTTCATTAAAAGTGTTTTAAATTTTGGATTTTATGGGTAGAACTGGTTGCCAAACCACTTTTCTTTACCAAAAAAACCGTTAATTTTTGCACTTTTTTATCTTCACACTTTTAATTCCCAGTATTTTTTTATCAATGTTTTAACTCGTTTTTATAAGTAAAGTTTTATCCATTTTTCTCTTTTTCTTTGGAAAAAAAAAATGGTAGTCAACAATTCGTTCCAACCCTAAAATTCCCCCCATGTTTATGAAATTTTCTAATAAAAAAAAAGGTTTTTCTCAGTATTTTTGCACAATGAACTCGTTTTTTTACGATATTTTTTTTAGATTTTTGTCCTTTTTTTATAGGAATCAAATGATAGTCAACCCATCACACTCTCATAAATAGCCCGATGGTTTACCTGCTTTTTCTTTTTTAACAGTTTTTGTTGCATGTTACGGGAAAACGGTAGACAAAACATCACGTCCCAAAATTTTTACCCCATGTTCGTGAAATATTTTCTCCTAAAAAAATTTCAAATTTTATAGCAGAATTTTTCCCAGTGGTTGTTTATGAAATATTTTGACCAAAACAATCCTCGTTTTAATAAAACGTTTATTTTATTTTTTATTTTTTCAAATTCTCAACATTCTTGTCCATTGTTTTAGCCATGCTTGATTCTTCTCTAATGGAAAAATGTTAGCAAAGCTTTCACGTACACTAAAATATTCCTTTTTTTTATATTACGACCAAAAATCGTAAATTTGAACTGTTAATTTTTGCCCTTTGAATAATTCGTATAAAAAAGTCCTTTTTTTTATATTGTTCATGGGAAAGTAGTAGCCAAACCACCACCACCCACCCTAAAATATCCTTTTTGTGATCCATTTTGACCCAAAATCTTAATTTTTTACGTTATTTATACCTTTCCCGTTGACTTATTTCGGTTTGATAAGTATAGATTCGATCACATTTTCTGTCGTTTCTGTATGGAAAAAGTTAACACAACATAAAACATGAAATGTTTATGAACGATTTTGATTAAACCGTTTTTACAGTTACCAGACCCCCCCCCCTTGTCCAGTTTGTGATGTCAACAACGCTCGATTTTACATTGAATAATTAATACCTTTCGACCGTGACCCTACTCTGTCTGTCCTCGATAGCCCTACTTTGCTTTTATAAGTTCCCATATAATTTATATTAAATAAATAAATAAAAAATTTAACAAAACCTGAGGCTAAAAGAGAAATAAAATGACCCAAGACACTTATGGCAATATGGTTTTATTTATTCGTTAATTTTTTCACCTTTGGCTGTCATTTCTATGAATCTATCTTGTCCAAAAGCACGTGTGTTTTAATATTTAAATTTATTCGTTCGAAAGAAAAAAATCGTTAGACCCTGTTAGAAGGATATATATATTTATTTATTTTGTATTAATAGTAAGTTATTTTTGATTAATATAACTAGTTTGTCAATGTTTTTTCCTTTCTTTTTTGTCTATTTGTCCTTTTCAATCCCTGGAATCAATTGGTGGACCGTTTCTGAGCCCTTGACCCAATTTGTTTATTGAGCTTCCCCTTACGGCGGGGTATTTTCTTCCCCTCGGCCACGCCTACTTGAAAACGGAAAATTCCGGAAAATCTTCCCCTTGTTTTACACACACACACACACACACACACACACAGGATGTTCCAAAAAATTGATAGGATACTTTCAATGCCAATATCTGTTGACCGTCTACGTGACCGCTCTCACGAACACATCTGACAGTTCTTAAAAATAGAAAAATATTCTAATATATTTATTTATTTAGCGTTAGTTTTTTGAGGAGTCTCGCGCCGGTTCAGTTAACCTATTTAAAATGGTATTTGCCCGTGGCAAACGGGATTATACGATTATCCCGGGATAGTGTTTTGTACAGTGACTTGTCAAAAGTAAAAGGGACACAATGGGCTATAAACCTTCAAATGGGCGGCGGTGGTTGTAAAAAGGGCCGGAAGCCCTATGCCCTTACCCTGAGTTGTCACCAACTTGAAATCTTTTTTCGTCCAACTTCAATAGAAAAATTTAATATAAAGCACAAATTTTCATATGTTCATATATGCTTGTGCCATACACTTCTTTTGTGCTTGTGTGAGTTGTACATACATGCACTTCTTTCAGCCCTGGTATCAACATTACATACCAACACTTTCATACAAATGTTCATGTGGGAAAAGTATCTGTTTTTGTATTTTCTTATGGGGAAAAATGGTAGCCAAACAAACCATCACACCCTAAAATTGCCTCATTTTATGAAATATTGTCATAAAAAAAATCTTAATATTTTTGACCAATGAGCACATTTTTTAAAGAAAAATTTACAGGTTTTTCCTTCTTTTATAGGAAACAAATGGTAGTAAAACCAAAACACACTCAAAAATCGGCCCCATGTTAACGAATTTTGTCATAAAAAAATATTTTTATTTTTTCTTAATATTTGTTTCCAATGATTTAACTCATTTTTTGTTAGAAAGGTTTTATGCGTTTTTGCTTTTTTTTATGAGGAAAAAATGGTGTCCAAGCATTTTCATTCATTTTTTCTTAGTATTTTTGCCCAATGAACATCTTTTTTAAGAATGTTTTGATTTTTTTTTATATAGATAAAAAAAATGGTAGTCAAATCATACACCCTTAAAATTGCCCCGTGTTTATGAAATATTTTGAAGAAAAAATTAAATTTTCGTTTTTTCACAGAATTTTTTCTTAATGGTTTAACTCGTTTGATAAGAAAATTGCAGGCATTTTTGTGTTTTCTTATGGTAAAAAGTTGTAACCAAACTATCATACACCCTAAAATTGCCATGTTTGTGAAACTTTTTGATGTAAAAAAATCCTTATATTTTTCTCACTACTTTTGTCCAATGGTTGAACTTTTCTTTTTGATAGCAAATTTTTATACTTTTGGTCTTTTTTTATGGAGTAAAAATGATTGCCAAACAAACCATCTCATACTACCATCGCCTCATGTCAAGAAAAATTTATTATTTAAAAAAATCTTTATTTTTTTTATTTTAATTTATTTTTTAAATAAGAACAAATTGTAATGAAACCACCACACACTTTTAAATTGCCCTGTCGATGAAATGTTTTGAAAAAATATTTGTTTTTTCACAGTATTTTTTTCTCAACTGTTTTAAGTCGTTTCGATAAGAAAAATTGTATTTATTTATTTTTTGTATTTTGTTCTGGTAAAAATTTGTAACCAAACCATCACACACCCTAAAATTTGTGTTATTTTGAAATAAAAAATCTTCCATTTTTTTATGATGGGTAAAAATGATGACCAAACAAACCATCACCCACCTTAAAATTGCCCCTTGATTTTGACATAAAAAATGTTCAATTTATACTCAGTATTTTTTCCCAATGAACTTTTATTTTTATTTTTTTGTAGGAAAAAAATGGTAATCAAATCATCACACACTCTTAAATGCCCCATCTTTATGAAATATTTGGATATTTAAAAAATCGTCATTTTTCCCAGTATTTTAGTCTAATGAACTTCTTTTTTTTTTTTTACTTTTTTGTAGGACAAAAAGTTAGTCAGACCATCACACACTTAAATGTCTCCTTGTTTATGAAATTTTCTGCATTAAAAAAAAATAATAATGTAAAGGTTTGTAAGATTAGTTCATCATGTTTTCCTTCACAAGTTTAACATTTTAAACCTACAATAGAAGTTCAAAAACGTCGAGGAAAACCCCCAAGCTTGTTCGGCTTCCTTCTTTTTTTTTATGTAACAGTTTAGTCGAACGGGAAATCTCATTTATACGATCAGTCAGTTTTATCTGGTGTCGCACTTGTTCAGATTTATTCTTTCAAATAAATAAAATCAGATTAAAAGAATAATTTAAAAAAGAAAAACAAAGCGATTAGTTGAGATTACAAATTTTATTTTGCATTGTGACTATCGAGACGATAAAACGTTTGATAATGGCCTGACATTCCTGACTGTGTCATGCTAATTTCTGTGAAATTATCTGAATTATTGTACAGTTATTTTGTTTTCTCTCCCCCCCTGTTATAAAAGATTTTAATCATTGATATTTCTCTTTTTGTTCGCAGGTTTTTCTGAAGGAAACAGTAAAAGTTCAAACGACGAATTCATAGGTCGTGAGGTTTGCTTAGATGCTCACCTTACGACTAGTCTCGACTCACTTTTTGAAGCAACCATAAAGAGTCAATATGTGCCGAGACAGGGATATGAACCCATAGACGACACATAGAAAAAAAGAGCTACATACCACTTTCAATAATTTGGACAACACATCCGAATGAAGTTCAACCGATAGATAACGATACTCACTATTTTTACATAAATCTTTTGGGAGACCCTTCAAATTTAATGGTGACATAGTTGATGTGATAAGTCAGTTTCTTTGACATTGTATAACATCTTTGATATTAAAATTAACAAAACAAACCAAGCTAAAAGGAAATTAAATGGACGTTAATTCAAATATTTTTCATCTGCTATATATAAGTGTTAGTATTCTTGGGATTATAAATGTGCTCTATTTTAAGAAAGTTATTAAGTGTAAAGTGATATTCAGACTCAAAAGAAGAATAAATAAAACAACCAATCTGTGGAACATAGCTAAGGAGTGTATTGTAAGTTAATTTTTTTTATATTTTTAATTATTAACAATATTTAACTCTTTAATTTCATGTTTGTTCATCTTAATTTTTGTTTCTAATGATTCCTTTTTTTGTTCTCTTTTTGTTTCTTCCCAAATTTTTTTGATCTGGGGTTATCGTAGATGCACTTGCAATAGAACGTTAGCAAGTGTCGAATATTTAATAAACAAAAGGCACATCCATCACATCTTTTCTCCATTTTTGACTCTCATCCGTTAGGTAAAGACAAGTTTGATTTTTTCTCTTCCACCGTTTTATTTTACTTACACATGCGCTCATCTTTTCATTTGATCCGCTTTTGTTTGTTTTTTGTGTTTTGCAGTTATATTCATCTCGCTCTCATCAGCTTTTTGTTTGCCTCGCAACCTTCTCATCATCACGTCACAAAAGGTATCTCCCTCAGAACGGAGAGAACACTTTTTTGATATGCCTAACCTGTCAGTACGTATCGCAGTGTGGCCAATCTCGACCATTAAAATTTCTAATTTTTAACATTTTTGTTGTGTGTTATTTAAATTAATATCGAATAATTATAACATGGTGCAATAAACTTTCACAATGCTTAGCGTAATCACAGTCACCGATCTAATTAATATACAGCACATCTGCACAATTTAAAATTAAACCCTTGCGTTGATTCCATGTTAATCTTTCAAAATTTTATTGAAATATTGAGACAAGAGAATAAAACTATTAGAAAAATGTCCTTGTGGTCTGGTGGTCACTTTTGTAAATGAGAAAATGATGGATGAATGTTAAGTATGTCGTTCTTAATGAATAGGCTAAAAATATAACACAAAAATTCGTTAAATTAAAAATAGAACATTCTCTAGATATAAATACAAAAAGGACATTTAGTGGATTACAGGAGACGAGAATGGTCACATGAGATAGTTATTCTTCTATATCACTATCTTTTTCCTAAATTAATTCAGTTTGGTTATGTAATTTTTCTTGTATCTTTTTTTCACGATTGAATAATGATTGTAGTGTGGGTGGGGTGGGGGACTGGGCTGCTGTGAAATCATGCGGAGGCCGAATCTGTGCAGCAATTCGATCGGCGTGGCCGAGGACACTTATAAGCCGGCCAACACGAACATCCAGCCAAAGGTGAGAACTGAGATAAACGGCCGTCGAGTGGGGAATCTTATCTGAAAGAATATTAAATGGTTCCAGGAGGAAGGGAGGCTCAGTATCGTAAGACGAGTTCTCGGAGGCAGTCGTAAAAAGGATGGTAACGGCTCAACGACGTCGAAAAATAGACAGTTCGGTGTACCTCTGTGCGACTTGCAACTTAACAACAATTCTGTTCCAAAAGTTCTACATCGTATTTGTTTTTTCATAGAGGCTCACGGTAAATTTCTTTTTCCCTTGTGGTGTTCGATTTTTTTTTAATATGGAACTGTCCAAATCCGCAGGGATGAAAGTCGAAGGCTTGTTTCGTTTGACCAGTGGGAATCAGACAATGGTGGAAAATCTGAAAATGCAGTTCAACACAGATCAGGATTTTGATCTCGAAGGGTGCAATGATGTCGCTTCCATCGCCTTATTGCTTATTTCATGGCTAAAAGATTTACCAAATCCTCTCTTCTCGCAAGATACAATTGGAGACCTTATTTCATTAATGAATAGTAAGTTTTCTCTCCCTAATTTCATAACTGCTTGCATGCTCTATTCTTGTTTAAAAATTAAAACTTAACGAACATATACATTGAACACTAAAGTTCACACATATTTGTCCGTATAGTTTCTTCTTACAAATAAATATATTATATATGTAGGTGTATACAGGCATGAGAAAAGGTGAGGTACAAAACGGGAATATTTTAAATAAGTCGTTTCAAGGGTGTTTATAAATGTATACATAACTATATTTAAAACATATTTTCAACTATGAAATCATGTTCTTAAAGGAGTATTATTTGAAAATAATATGCTCATAAATATATATTTTCGTGTATATTAAAGTACATGTGCCAACACAAAATTTAAAATGTACATACATATTAACACATACAATGTATGTACAACAATGGTACCAGGTTATATTGCACGCCTGAGGTGGTAACAGTGGTACCAAATTAACATGCATGCCTGAGGTGGTGTACTCATTTTCTTTGCTGCCTGAAGTGGTGTACCAACTTAACACGTCTGCCTGAGGTGGTGTGCCAATTTACTTTTACTGCCTGAGGCAGTGAACCAAGTTACATTGTCTGTCTGAGGTGGTGTACCAATTTTCTTTTCCTGCCTGAGGTGGTGTACTAATTTTCTTTGTCTGCCTGAAGTGGTAATAATCATACCAACTTGAGACATCTGCCTGAGGCGGTGTACCAACTTACATAGCCTCCCTGAGGTATTATACCAACTTACATTTTCTGCCTGAGCTGGTGTACCAATTTACTGTCTGCCAGATGTAGTGTACCCATTTACATTGTCTGCCTGAGGTGGTGTACCAATTTTCTTTATCTGCCTGAGGTGGTGAACCAATTTTCTTTATCTGTCCGAGGTGGTGTACCAATTTTCTTTCTCTGCCTGAGGTGGTGTACAACTTACATTGCCTGCATAAAGTGGTAATAATCATACCAACTTAACACGTCTGCCTGAGGTGGTGTACCAATTTACTTTGCTGCCTGAGGTGGTGTACCAACTTACATTTTCTGGCTGATGTGGTAACAATGGTACCAACTTACATATAAACATTTTTGTATTTTTATTTGTTACAACCTGCTATCTGCAACTGGATAGTCAATTTTTTGTGAGTTTTATTTGTATAGACATGCACACACGCGCGCGCGCGATATTGAAAAATACACTAACATTTAAATATTCCATTACTAATCCTTCAATTGGTGTAAAACTGATAGTAATATTTTCTTAATTTTGTGTCTTTCTATATTCTTAGAATACGAGGGCGATACTTGGTGGGGACCTGTGTGTCACGAGTGCCTTGTAACTGCGGGAACGCTGCAGACCAACATCCTCGAGACGATCCTCCACGTGCTGTACAACTACACGAGCAGGCACCCGTCGTCCATGTCTTATATCCCAGGCGTGTTCTGCCCGCTCTTGACCTGCCCAGAGTCAAAGGACATCTCGTCGCCAGACGCCGTCAAGTTGACGACAAAGCTGATTCAGGATTACAATATAATCTTCAGAAAAAGGTTAGTTTAAATAATTAATTAAATGTCTGTGCGGGATTCTGTCATTGTGCCAAATTGTCAACGGTGTGTTTTACTGTTATTTTCTTTATAAATTTTGATAAGATTTTTTTTTTTAAATGAAACTTCCTCATTCTTTGGGTTTGTAATTTATTAACAGTTTTCACTTTGACCTACAAGTGTTTCTTATTTTGCTGCAGAGGACATCTTCTGGCACCCTTGAAATTCTCCTTTTTGTTGCCAAATCACGGCGTCCGTTTAAAGTTTGTTGGCATTAAAATTAATTACGTCATCATGAGTCAAACTCATGTGGGTGGATGGTTCACAGTCCCTCAGCGAGCCACATCTCATCTATAATTATTATAATCGCCCTTTTTCTCCTGCTCCCTTTCTTAAAATAGGCGTACACAGACGAAGCAAGGAATTTTGTTGACGTACATTAATCTGGCTCTAGGCCCAGACTATTTACAGACCTCTTTGATGACCCCAACCTTCTGAACAACCATTTTTTTTCCTAGTTCCGTTTCTTTTTTAATGAGATCTTTTTTCGGTCAATAAGTATTGTATTTTTCTACAAAGGAAATATCAATTTTGTGTCGATTTTATATATACTATGTGATTTCTCTTAAAGTTTAAATTTTTGTGTGTATCCCGTGAGAAAAACTTAATATGGATTAATATGTGATTCAGACTTTCCGCCCTTGGATTCCTCACCCACTTCCCCTCCTACTACCAACCCCACTTCCTCTGTTTCCCACTCACTTTTACGAGGGTCTTAGCCATAGCGATTTATTTTGGCAAAAAATTTGGCAAACAGGTGTCTTGGCTAAAATGTTGGCAAGATATAGTACAAAATACTTTCAAGAGCCGCTTTTCAGCTCAGTCAACTATTCGCCCCTAAGCAGAGAAGTCAAGGTTTCGTTGATCAACATCTTTCACGCCCCGTTGCTTTTCAATCTGAAAAAAATAACTGTAATAAATCAATAGTTTTCTTTTAATTTAATAACTTTTATATTTATAGTCGGTTTATTTATTTTCCAGAAGTCTCGACACCATCGGAAACGGCCGTACAGCAGTTATAATCTCAGATTACAACACTTCACAGAAGCAGAGAAAGCGAAAAGAAAGGCAAGATAGCTGCAACAGGCTGGATAGAAAATTTGTGAGGTAACGTTTCATTTTACTATCGTTTGAAACAAATTTTTTCAAAAAAATTCAATTTCAAATGTCCAAAATTCAAGGCATTATTTGTTGAAAATTAACCAATATAATAGTTCATACAAAAATTTACAGAGCCAAAAAATGGAAAACTTGTTAATTTTTTTTATTTTAATGTTGAAAATTTATTTTTATATGTAATAATTTATTAAATTCACTAATTTCATGGTCCGCTTGACCAATTAATATCTTTCAATTAATTAAGGTTTTTAGTTGAGATAAAAAAGTCAATGGCACGAGTGGGATTTGAACCCATGATCTTCGGCTTGATACGCCGCTGCTCTACCACTTGAGCTATCGTGACCTCGATCCACTCGGACACCAATTTCCTATCTCAACCCCACCTTTTGAATTTTCCCTCCTTTTTGCCATTTTTCAAATGTCGTGTAATCTTTTCGACTATTTTATCTCAACTAAAAACTTAATTAATCGTAATATATTAATTGGTCAAGCGGACCACGAAATTAGTGAATTTAATGATTTAAAATGAAGTACACTTCACACTAAAGCTCTCTGTGGCCATTTCATTTGTCGTCAAGAATCCAATCTGATTACACGACATTTGAAAAATGGCAAAAAGGAGGGAAAATTCAAAAGGTGGGGTTGAGGGGGCAAAAGTTAGTGTCCGAGTGGATCGATGTCACGACAGCTCAAGTGTTAGAGCAGCGGTGTATCAAGCTGAAGATCGTGGGTTCGAATCCTGCTCGTGCCATTGACATTTTTATCTCAACTAAAAACCTTAATTAATTGTAATAATTTATTTTTTATACAGATCGAATTCAGAGGAGAGGCCAGCGGTGAATACTTCATGCACTGGGAATGCTAGAGCAGAGAGTATGAGGAGGGTTAGCAGTCATGAGGATTTTTCAAAAACCAGGGCTAACGTCAATAAATCATCCGATACACCATCTCAGGTAAATAGGACTTCCACTCCAGCTTCCATTGATAAGAAATCAGGATCAGTCATGCATGAAATTAAGTTTCAATAGAATTGTACCAAATCGTGTGGGGAGGGGGGTGTAGAAACGAGTCATAAAAAGTTTTATCACGGGGCGAAATCTATTTGTTTTGTGTCCCGATTTTGCAATTATTTACTCGCCAATGGAAGATAAAAAGTGTCGAATAAACCGTTATTTCGTTCAGTTGAGAAAGATGGCGCTGCCATTGCACGAGCGCAACTCCTGCTCGCCGCAAAGACAGCATCCGCAGGAGAGCATGCACCTTTCGTCTACCGTCGGCTACGCAAGCGACCTCTACGACGAGAACGAGCACGAGAGAAGGAGGAACAGCGAACGCTTCGCGCCTCAGAGGCACAGAAACGGTGTCCGGATCAGGAGGAGGTCAAAGCATCACCACTCCCAGGCTAAAGTGAGCTGAATTTTATCTGTTTTATTTATAACTTAGGTACGATAAATTCTTCTAATTTATAATGTTTGCGTCCAGGAAAATGAAGCGTACGAGTTGAGGAAACCGTCAAAAATTGAAAATCTTCCAATAACAAAATGCTACAATGATAAAGAGGTCAAGCAGGATAAATATGTTGAGAGGATTAAGGTAATACGACAACCCTTTTAAAATGAATTAGCCAGTTCCCATCAATCAAACTCAACCATCATACCATTCACCTTTTAATAGAATCTTTTATTTTACAAAATTGGTTCTTTTATAAAATAAAAAGTATTTTTTTTTTTTTTTTACTTTTAATTATATTAGGAAGAAGAAGAAATTGAAGAAGCAGAAGAAGAGGAAGATGATGATGACAGGTCGCCATCGCCAATTTCCGGAGTCTGTTCTCCGACACTCGATATGACTCTTTTTTCACAGGAAATGGGCGCCGATCCAGTCCCTTCCATGCCGTGGACTTCCATTTCGCCTGTGAGTATTTCTCAAATGGTTGTTTTTTTCCAAAATTAACAATATTTTGATTTTTTTTTGTTTGTTAATAAAGAGTGAAGAAAGACTAGTGTCACCGCGTAATTCACTCATTGTGAGCCGAAGGACATTCACAGCATCTTTGGCAGGACGCGGGATCCTCGACGACGACCCTTCTCTTTTCGACATTGCTACGCAGATAAATAAGTAAGTCGGGAAATTTAACAAATATTTCCAGGACGTTTGATTTTAATTTTTTGGTTTCTCTCTCAGCATCAAGCGTAAAATAAAGAAGTATGATGAAGGGTTCGAAAGAGAATTTGGCCACAAGCCGTCGCACGCTGAGAAAATATCAAATCCAGATACAAAAAAATTGTGCATACAGTTGACAAAGCTAAAGAAACAATTAAAAAGTAAGTTTTTTATTATTAAAAAAATATTTAATACATAGAATTATTTTTTATTATTATTATTATAGGTGCAAAAGAGGAATGCATGAAGGCGAACAATTGTGAGCGGAAGGCTTTGAAAGAGGAGGTAATTCAGGAAATAGAGAAGCGCCTCACTGAAAAAAGGGTGTCTGGCGGACGAGGAGACGAACTTGAGATGATGACGCACGATCAGCTCGTGGAAGAGAAAGTCGCCATACAGAAAGTCCTTCTTCAGCTCGAAGCCTCGTTCGGCCGGCCTTCTTCAAAAGAGGAACGAGACATGGTCAGAAATCTCTACGATCGTTACCGAACTGTGAAACGCATCCTTTTACGGCACGCTCCGGTACGTTTTGCAATTGATCTTTAACGATCTCGCCCAGGTCAAATTACATGTTCATAATTCCTGTACAGGAGGAAATTCATGATATGATTTTTTTTGTTTTTAGTCGAAGTTAAAAGACAGTATTTCCGAGCTGGGGACAATATTAGAGCACGAAGCTATGGATTTTACGGCTTCGTCGCCTCTGGTTTCTCCCGGGAATTCAAACGCGGAAGAAGAGTCGCCTCCAGCCGAAAGAAAAACGCCTGAACCCATCTTGGACAACCTCCACTCGTTGCCTCCGTAAGTACATTATATTTTTACACACGCAGTATAATATTTTTATTTTATTTTGTTATATGATTTATAGAAATGAACTTTTACAATTGCAAAAAGTCACGCGCGAGGAGAAGAGAAGGCTTCAGCGTAACCTGCGCGAGTACGAACACGAATTTCAGGTGAAAACCGGAAGGAGGTTTCAGAAGGAAGACCGCTGCCCTTACGAGCCGACTTACGTCAACTACAAGCAAGTCAAAGCTAAGCTGCGATTCATCGACGCCCTCGTCACAAAAATAAAATAATTGCCGGACTTGTCCTAAATCTTCTCGTTTTCTTCTATCAATCAGGGGTTTTTTTTTTTCTTCTTTCTTTATTTTATCATTTATATTATATTTCAAAGAGGAGAAAAAAAATTATAACGAGATAGTTTTTTAAAGAAAGACAGACTCTTAGGAGATTCATATAGACTTTTTAGCACATTTTAGGCCAGTAGTACACCCAAACTAATACTTTTGTGTACCTTTAAAATCATAAATTATTTAAAGTTTTACTACTCATTTTTTTGTGCATTTGTTCTACAAGACTTCAAAAATTCACAATTTTTTTCAAATATGCATAAGTGAATTGATTGTAAAACAAATCGCACTTACTAACATTTGTTTGGACTTGATATTTTACAGTATTTTTGACATAATTATCAGCAGTATTATTTTTACAAAAAAAGTAGCTTTTATTTATTTCATTCCTTCTTTAGATAATCTTCCATCGCCTCTTCCAATTCTTTTTGTTTATCAATTATTTTTAATTACTATTTACAATACTTACTAGTTGTCCCAGAATTATCTGATCGCTATGTAGTTATCTTTTTTTTAATATATTGATTTTTCTAAATATTTAAAATGTTTTAGAGGGAATAAATTCTAGTCTCAGAAATTAGGGAGGAAAAAGGAGAGAACATTTAAATAAATTTAGAACTTAAGGGAGACAAAATTTAATTGTAAAGTTGTATTTTTTTCTAATCTTCTTCATTGTTGGTTATTTAAAATATCTATTGTTTGTTATTATGTTTGTTTATCAGTTTTTCTATATTTTATTTTTCTTTATATTTTGCTTGAGTTTAATAATTAAAAAAGATTTTTAAAAAGAGAAAAAAAAATGATTTTATAAAAGGTAACAATATTAAATATAATATAGTTAAAAAATAAAAAAAGTTTTTGCATTGACATTAGAAATGAATTAGACTGATTTAGTTGTAAAAATAAATAAAAACAAAAGATTAGTTTCTTTCTCTCTTTTAATTATTCAAGACTTGTTATTAAGTTTTATATATATTATTAAAAATATATATATTATGTACATATATGTTATCGGTTTTTATACTTTAAAATTAAAATGAAAAAAAAATTATAAAATCTAAAAGAAGAGAAATTATTAGCTTGTGGGAACATCCTGGAGGATTCCAATGTATTTTTTAGCATAACATGAGCAATATGGTGCATTCGTATAAAAATAAACACCTTGGATCTGAGTGTTCATTCATAATTCTATATATATATATTGTTATAAATAACATAATTTAATGTTTATAAAAAAAAGTTGTTATAATTGTACTACCATTGCTAAATGGATTTCATTGACAAATTTTTGTCGCATTTTCTTTCAGTTTTTATTTGTATAACTTTTAATTATGAAGCTTGAAATTGTATGATTTATCAAGGAGAAAAGATTATTTGTTAAACAAGAAAAAGAAAAAATTAATAATTAATATATGAAGGTTTTATATACTATAAGTTTTTTTTTTCTTTTAACCCCCTTGCTTATATTAGCGAATTCGTGTCGTACAGGACGGCTTAATGTCCAACTGTGAGATTACCTCCTCTGTGAGGTGATAAAACTTATTTTATAGTTAGAAATGATTAATGACGGAGTGAGTGAGGTGTTCAATCCTTTTTAAAAAAAGGTAGTTCCTACTTATAGTAAGTCATTTTCCAATGATCTGGATTTCAAGCCTTTAGCTCATCATCAGGTTGAAGAACTAATTAATTCTCTACACCGTAATATAAATTTTACACTGGAAATTAACAAAGATGATTGTTTGAACTTTTTAGACCTAAAATTGTGCATAATAAACAACCTAGAAATAGACGTATATAGAAAACCCACAACGACAGACTCTATGATACCAGAGGATTCTTCCCACCCATGGTCCCAAAAGGCTGCTGGTTCATTTGGATCATAGACCGTACGTTAAAACTTCCGTTGACACCTAACTATAAAAAAGAATTAGAAACTATTAAAACCTTAGGAAAAAAAAAACAATGGGTATCTAGAAATATTTATCGATAGGTTTCTAGTTAAAAGAATAAAAAAATTAACTTTAAAAGAATCAATAATAGGACAGCCACCCCCACCATAAATGAATCATTAGGTTTCCGTTGTTCACCAAATAATGATGAATTATCAGAAAAAGTTAGTAAAATTTTTAAACAAGAAAGTTTTAGAATAGCTTTTAGATGTACGGGCTCACTTAAAAACATCCTCTCAAAACCTAAAGACAAATTAGACAACTTGGCAAAAAGCGGGGTTTACCAACTCAATTGTAATGATTGTAATATTAAATATATAGGTCAAAGCAGTAGAGAAATAAAAACGAGAGTAAAAGAACACTTGCCTAAATCGAGCAAATTTTCCCAATTTAAGGACCATCTAAAAGAAACAAAACAATTTCAATCTAAATTTAAATATAACAGTGTTACATAGATTAAGGTTTTTAGTTGAGATAAAAAAATCAGTGTCACGAGCGGGATTCGAACCCACGATCTTCGGCATGATACGCCGCTGCTCTACCACTTGAGCTATCGTGACTTCGATCCGCTCGGCCACTGACCTCCCATCTCAACCACACCTTTTGAATTTTCCCTCCTTTTTGCCATTTTTCAAATGTCGTGTAATCTATTTGATTCTCAGCGACAAATGAAATGGCCACAGAGAGCTTTAGTGAAGATATACTTCAGTTTAATTATTAAATCCATTACAGTTCGTGGTCTGATTGACAAATTAGTTTTTTTCAATTAATTAATCTTTATGTAAGGTATTGGTTGGGATAAAAAAGTCAGTTCACGATAGCTCAAGTGGTAGAGCAGCGGCGTATCTAGCCGAAGATCGTGGGTTCGAATCCCACTCGTGCCATTAATTTTTTTCATCTCAACTAAAAACCTTAATTAATTGAAAGATTGGTCAAGCGGACCACGAAAACTAGTGAATTTAGTGTTACATAGTTTCAACAATGGGGGAGAACTAGATTGGTTTGAGAAATTTGAAATTAAAAAATGTAAAATTGAACATGTAGATAAATGCATTAGTAATGTAACAGATTGAAAAATGGCAAAAAGGAGGGAAATCTCATAAGGTGGGGTTGAGATAGGAAGTTGATGTCCGAGTGGATCGAGGTCACGGATAGCTCAAGTGGTAGAGCAGCGGCGTATCAAGCCGAAGATCGTGGGTTCGAATCCCGCTCGTGCCATTAACTTTTTTTCATCTCAACTAAAAACCTTAATTAATTGTAATATAACAGATTTTGATCTACCTCCCATTTTAAATATGTACATAAATAATATTAAACGACCAAATAATTAAACTATTAAATCAAATTAAATTATTTTAATTGTTATTATTTTTATAATAATATTAAGGTATTACTCTAACCTTTTATCTTTAATCACTAATTTATACTTAATTTCTTAGAGTATTTACCATTATAATATTTACTTGTGTTATAATTCCTGCTTTTCGCACGTTAAAATTGAACGCCATTAAAAAACCAGCTTCTCATTGGAACATCATAGTTGGCAGGACTATCGGCAGGTTCACTTTTGCAATTCATGTCGAAAGACATGATTGCAGAAATCCTTCAACCTGATGATGAGCTAAAGGCTCGAAACCCGGATCATTGGAAAACAACTTACTGTGAGTACGAACTATCTTTTTTAAAAACGAGTTATTTTGTAGTTTGTCCTAGTCGGACTTTTTGATATTAAGTTCTTATCTTTTTTAATTTGTGAGTTTTTTCGTATTGCATGTGTAATGTTTATATATTTCTAAGTTTTTGAGTACGCTCATTTTCTTTTTCTCTTTAATTTTTTTTTTTGTATATTATTAGTTTTATACTTGTTCTACAAACTGAGGAGTCAATCTTTGAAGAATTTCTGCTGGTTTCGTGCCTTCATAGTCTTAGTGTCATGAGAGCTAGTGCTGAACAGGTCAGAACTAGATGACCACTGGCTCTATTGAGCCCTGACATTCTTAGCAATATATTCAAAAAGAGGCCTGCTCACTTCAAAATTACACTCTCTTAAAACAAAAGTCTTGGTTATGTTTCATAAGCCTTAGTACATTCTTTAAAAAAAGCGGGAGGTGAAGGGAAAAAAGTATATATTAGAATAACTATGTGTATTATCAACCAGTATACAGGGTGTACCAACTTCTAATCCACCCATTTAATTCGGAAATGATTAACTTTAGTAAAAAATGATCTTATACAAACTCCGAGTATTTTGGCTAGGAATTGCATGGTGGTAACAGATTTAACATAACTTTCTCATCTAGCTGGGAAATGACCTTAGTATTGTTATTTTAAATGAGAATCCCACATTTTATAGTTCAATTAAATTGTAGAGTTTATTTTATTATTAGGAAAAATTTTATAGTATGATAAAAAAATCCTTTTTTATAGTTTTTTTTCTTCCAAAAATTAATATAAGCCAAGTGTAAAAGCAACCCCTGATCTCAATCCTACTCTGAGATGATTCCTATTTTAAATTAATTAACTTGCTAATACTAATCATTTCTGAAATAAACGGGCAGGGCCATCTTCTTACAAAAAGCTTACCCGCTCATGCGTCTTCTGTCGGGTATAACTCAGAAATGGTCGATCCAATCAAAAATTTCCTTTCAATAAAAGTGGCCTAAAATAAGCTCTAGAATTGAATTTTACAATAAAAATATGGGATTCTCATTTAAAATAAATTTCAATTAATTAAGGTTTTTAGTTGAGATAAAAAAGTCGATGTCACAAGTGGGATTCGAACCCACGATCTTCAGCTAGATACACCGCTGCTCTACCACTTGAGCTATCGTGACTTCGATCCACTCAAACACTAACTTCCCATCTCAACCCCACCTTTTGAATTTTCCCTCCTTTTTGCCATTTTTCAAATGTCGTCTAATCTATTTGATTCTCGGCGACAAATGAAATGGCCACGGAGAGCTTTAGTGAAGGTATACTTCATTTAAACTTATTAAATTCACTAGTTTTGTGGTCTGCTTGACCAATTAATATATTTCAATTAATTAAGGTTTTTAGTTGAGATAAAAAAAAATTGGTGTCACGAGTGGGATTCCGAGTGGATCGAGGGCACGATAGCTCAAATGGTAGAGCAGCGGCGTTTCTACCCAAAGATCGTGGGTTGGAATCCCACTTGACACTTGAAAAATTGAAATATATTAATTGGTCAAGCGGACCAACTAGTGTATTTAAAATAAAGTTATTGTCATTTCCCAGCTAGATGAGAAAGTTACGTTAAATGTGTTACCACCACGCGATTCCTAGTCAAAATTAACTTGGGATTTGTATAAGACCATTTTTTTGCTATAGCTAATTATTAATTAAATAGATGGACTATAGAAGTTGATACCTCCTAAATAGTGTAAGATGTGGATCTGATGTACGGTTAAAAAAAGAAGAAAGCAACTGCAATCACTTGCCAAGCTTTTGGCCTTTATAATGTCATCCTCAAAGGCCGAATGTTTGGCAAGTGATCGCAGTTTCTTTCTTCAATTTTGACCATGCACCAGGTCCACATTTTACAGAGCAGAATGATCAATGATGATCAAGCTGTAGGTCGTACATTGCTGACCTCAACACTATCTGTTGATGATGATCTCAATAAAGATCGAAACATTGGAAAAAAAAAAAAGAAAACGTTTTTCTAAAACCTACATCACACCAGACCGCATCTCATGACCTCCAAATAACTATCCTTTGAATTAGACAGGAAGACAATATATACAAAGACAATTTTATAATTATAAAAATATATATGAATGAAACAAAGTTTTTAATAACCAAAAATCAAACTTGAAAATTCATTAACACCTAAACCGAACCAGAAATCTCAGATTTCAATATTTATAAAATATTTTCAATAGAAAATATAAAAATCAAGACATCAGTTTTCTTACACTTAATTGACACTCGCTCCTCCCATAAGGTTGACTTCCCGTCCGTTATATCTTTGCGATATGTCTTCTGATATCTAAAATCAAAATTTCAGGTAAATTTTTAAAGGAGGCGAGTCTTAAAATTGCAAATACCTCTTTTTGAAGTTCACGGCTTTTTTTTACTATGACCTGCACCTTTTGGTTCAGGTTCGCCACCTCCCGTTCCGCTTCTGCGGCCTTCTCTTTGGCAACAAGGGAGATCGCTGCGCCCCTTTCGATTGCGTTCTCCTTCGCCTCGATTTTCTTCAAAATGTCGTCTAAGTACCGTGGGTAATACAGTATATTGTAGAAGTTTTCCGTAGTTGTGTTCGTCAACAAATTTAAAACGTTGTTAATTGACGATGACATCTCTTTGACGTCAGACGCCGATTCGGCGATGGTGTTCAGACCTTCACCATGTTCCAATTCATACAGACGAGTTTTGATAAAGCATTGGATCTAAAAATTTAATAAGAAAATATAGAAAAAAATTATTAGGGAGTTGGGTTATTAAATTTCCACAAACCTCGAGGAGCTGATTGATTAAATTTGTCCTGAAAATGGAATTATCTAGTACTGACAATGCCAATGGTCCTTCTGCTACGATTGCATTACCCTCTGTGTCATTCTTAAAACATAAGAAATACTTTTTATTAGAGAAAATCAAAAAATAAATTTAGTTAAGCATCGACAAGAGTGGAGATAAAGATCATAAATTTTTAAACATTTTTTTCCAAAAGTCATTTATGTCAAGTTAATATTTGTTGAATGTACGTAGATCACCTATCATCATGATTTGAACTTTAGGGCAAAAGATGGCGCTCTGATACTTTACTAGCCAATCTGATCCACTGACATTAAATGAAGAATAAAGAATATGGTAAAGGAAAGATAACATGAAGGCGCTAATATTATACTTACATTCTCTTCAATGGTGTCTTTTTTAACTTCTTCCAAATCAGCGTTTTCTATCTTTAATAAAGAATCATGGAATTATTATAAAAAATTAATGTAATTTTTTATATTTAACTTACCTGTTTACTGTCAGAAAAGTCAATATCAAAACCCCAATCGATCGTACCATCATCTTGCTCGGACTAAATAAATTATATCATTTTTTTTTTTTTAAATCAATTTTATAAGTTATTTGAATTTATTACCTCTTCTGCTGCTAAAGTTGGCAAAATTACTTTGGTTGGTTTGACGCCTTTTTCCCATTCGTAAGTAGTCGTGTTGCCCTTGTTCGAGAGATATTTGATGAGAGCAAGGTCTATTTCGCTCTTCGGCTGGGAGTACGAAGTGAACAATTTGTAATACTCGATCGCCGGCAGGATCGTTTTGATCCGGCCAGCGACGTCTTCGTTTATTGTATAAAGCTGTTTAGCAGAGGTCAACAACGCTTTTCTAAAGCCCGTACGATGGCCCTCGAGGCCCAACTCTCTAAGCAGGGAGTTCAACTCGTTCTTGGCGCTGTTTCCCATCTTGACGGCATCCGACTCCTTTTTCCTCCATTCCTGAAAATCGAGTCGTTAAAACCTAAAATTATGTATTATTATAGTATAAATTACTTCTTTCAGCTGGTTCTGCTTTGCTATCTGTTTCTTAATAGAAGGCAGTTCGTATTTAACCGTGTTGATTAACAGTTCAGCGGCCTCTGCGAGGTACACGTTTTTCTTCTTGTACAAATTCACAATCTCCTGCCAGTCTTTGAGACGCTTCGAGCTATACTGGCCAAATATATTTTTCGAATCTCCTTCCGTCTCTTTGAGAATGTCGATTATCTTAAGACAATGGAAATAATTTATATCTGAAAGTATTTTAAATGTTTATACAGGCTAAAAAGAAAGAAAAAGCTGGGATTTTTTTACATGTGCCTGAGAGTAAGAGGGTGATTTCCTTGTTCTCGGGCATATCCTGGATCGCCTCGTTGATCTTAGCCCTGATCGCAATGACAGCAGCCTGCCAGTCGTACATACAATGCCTCCTGCTCAACAACCATTCTAGCAGCTTAGGTATGAATATGTCAATACTTATATACTGGTCCTCCTTTTCACAAAAAAAAAAAAAAAATGGACAGTGAAACAACTATAAACAATCTTAAAATAAAATGAACTAACATTTCTGTTTATTTGTTTTAAATAACAATAAAAATAGAAATCAAGAAAGGAAACATAAAATTTGACATACCATTATTAGATTCCCTTCTGCTGAACCATAAGGAGATTTCAATTTGACAACTGGAACACGGGAAAACAGAACGAAAGGTTGCAGAAAAATCGATATCGCTGACACTCGATCACTTTTCTCGAATTTAGTCATAAAATCAACTTAAATAGAAAAGTTTTTAAAAAAATAAAAATTTAAGACAGTTGTATAGTTTAGACAATTATCAATAATTTTAAAAAAATCGTCAATAAATGACGGGATAATGGTTAAAACGAATTAAAGTATCGATTCCATATATAGAAATAGAAATTTATAAAAAAAATTCACAATAGGGCCCTTAGAAAAATATGAAATAATCAAAGAATAAAAAGGTTACAAAATATAGTGCAAGAAATAATAATTAATTAGCAAAATTTGTATAATATTACAATAGTTTAATATGAAAGGAGAGAAATAGGTATAATGTAAAAGTTTAAAAGAGAGAAGAAAAAGAGAATAGCAACAGATCATGTTAAATCTTGTTAATTTGATCCAATCATGGATTTTTTTTTTTAAGTTGAAAGCTGGCCCTTAAAGCCCGAATGGGTTGGGCTGGCCCTAATATTCCACTGATGGGCCCCATCTACTCTATGAATCATTCATTTGGATCTATGATGAAAGCTATTTATATATATTTCTGTATGTTTTATTTTCAGAATTTCCGCTTTTGCATAGCAAGAAAGGAGATGAAAGAGACGAATAGGTGCAGAAAGCACACAATTAACCCGTTTTGGCACTATTCAAAAGAGTGGATTGGGCCTTGGTCGAATCGAATTGGACACGTGCCGCGCACGCACTTGACACGCAGATCGGGTCTGGGTCGGCCTCGCCCGGTTGTCAAGGGGTAAAGGAAGAGATTTCCTGCATTCGGGTTTCGGGGTCGGGTCCGGGCATCTCGACATTTTCTGCCAGATCTTCAACAGAAGTGGAGAACAAAAGGAAATCCAACCGGATCGAAATGACCCTGGACGAGAACGAAAGGGCGAAAAGGCAGAAGACGGTGAGTTTGGTCTTTTTCCGACCTTTTGCGGAAGGTTGCAACTTACACATGTTTCACGCACTATTTGAACATTTTAGCCTATTAATCCTTTGGGGGGGGGGGGAAAAGGATCACGCACTTTACGATTTCCCCCGCAAATTAAAAAAAAAATTCTCCTCAATTATACCCACCAAATTTGATTCAAATTTTACATTCTAACTTTTTTATAGTTAAAAAAAAATCAAAATAAAACGTTTAGCGTGTAATATCTCAAGTGGTAGAGCGCCGGGTGTAAAGCCGGAGGTCGAGGGTTCGAGCCCCGCTCGTGACATTAATTTTTCATCTCAACCTTCTTTGTATAAAAATTAAAATAAAAGCAGTTTCAACTTTGCCCTGCCATGAAAATATTAAATATTTATATAAATGTTTCTTTACAATAAATATATAAATATACAAAAAAAAATTTAAAAAAAAAATTTAAAAAAAATTCTGTACTTAAATAAAGCTAAAAAATCTTCTGATGTTAAATCCTAAATTTAAAAAAATCCAAAAATATTTGTAAAGTTGGAAAAAAGCTAAATGTTTTTTAGTCTAATTTATTTATTTTTTATTTAAACAATATGTTAAAATTTCAACTTTGCCCTGTCTTGAAAATAACTATATACAAATATTAAATGCATATTTATATAAATGTTTATTTACAGTGTATACAAATATTTACAAAAATACATATATTTTGAAAAAAAATCATTCTATACTTAAATAAATAAAGCTGGAAAATCCTCTGATGAGAAATAAAAATATATTAGTTACTTTCCTAAATAAAAAAATAAAAAATCCAAAAATATTTGTAAAATTGGAAAAAAAAGCTAATTGTTTTTTAGCCTATTGATTTAGTATAATTTTTAAGCATTTAAGTCTATTTTGTTTTTGTTTACCAACATTTTTAAGATTGCTTACAGCCGGAACTGTGTGCATCCTGACACTAAATAAACACACAACATGTTAACAACTTGCTTCTTATGAAAATACATAAAAATATTAAAAATTGATAAAATGTTAATTTACTGTGTGTAAAAATATTTACAAAAATGCACACATTTTGGGGAAAAAACCTGTATTTAAATAAATAAAGCTACAAATTCCTCTAAAAAATAAAAATGAATTAGTTGCTTATTGTTAATTAAATTAAAAACAAAATCCAAAAATATAGGTAAAGTTGGTCAAAAATATAAATGTTATATTTATGAATGGATATGAAGTCAAATGAGGTGTCTGAAGACGTCCAATTTAAATTTCATTAAATTTCAAAGTTCAATCAAACTCCGTAAAAAAAATCAGTTTTATTAGCAAATTACAATTTGATATTTTAATCTATTTTTCTATTTTTTTTCTATTTTTTCTATATCCTTTGGAAGAAAAAAAATCGTGCACTTTTTCCCCAAGTTATACTCATCAAATGTGATTCAAATCTCATGTGAATATACAAGGTGATGCATTTTTACACACTATAAGAAAAATAATGCGCCTCATGCTTATAGACCCTGGTGCAATTTTTTAATTAAAATGAATTTCTTGGCAAACACTGATAGAATTTAATTCCAATTTTGCAATGTAAAAGTGTTAAATAAATTCTATCAAACAAAAAAATCATTCTGGCTTTAAATAATAAATAAAGCTAAAATTCACTGATGAGAAATCAAAATGTATTAGGCACTTCGCTAAATTAAAAACAAAATCCAAAAATATTTGTTTAGTTGAGAAAAACTAAATGTTATAGTTGCGAATGGACATGATATCAAATAAAGTGTTCTAAGACTTGCAATTTATGTTTTCATTCAACATTATGCCACAACTAAGACATTTTATTTAGATAGTCTGTAAAGAAAAAAAAACCTAAATGTTCCAAGGCTTAAATATTCTTTACTTTGTTCATTTCGGGTTTTTTGGCCCAACCTCTGCAGTCCATTTTTCAATCAAAGCCTCTGTTCAACAGTTGATTTGCCATCAACTGTGAAAATGGATAGAAATTATTTTTATGGTCAGAAGGTGTTGCATAGCTTTTCCTATGTCAAAAAAATGTTCCACCTTGTATACATTTAATTGTGACATCTTATTAGGCAATTCATATTTTGCAATTTTTAAATAAATAATGAACTAACTTTCCATTATTTCAAACTTGGCTTTCCTATTGACAATTTTTGTTTGATGAATTCTGACTTTCCAGTCTTTTAAATTTTTTTTGACAAGCAGGCGAACTGAACTATCCAAAAGTTTGTATGTATCACATTATCTGAAACACCATATAAATGGTGGTGAATTTTTCAACCGACCATGGGAGAAAAAATGCACCACCTGCTTAAATGGACTCGGGTGCAATTTTATAATTAAAGTTAGTTTCTTGGTAAGCACACTTAGTTCAAAATGTGTTCCATCCAGGAGAAAGTTGTGTGGGTAAAGCAATATTATGGTGTAATCTGGTCGTTACAGATCATTTTGGTTTGCATATCCTTGGTACTGTTAATCTGTTAGACATCTACTTCTGTGGTAGGGATTACAAAATGAACAGTAATGAACAAATTATAGCTTCATCAGTCCTACCACACGAAGAAATGTTGCAATATTGGCAATATTGGTGGCTTAAGTTTCCCGGGGTGCCAATAAAATTTAAACAAACACATTCAACAAAACATTCCACCCTGCTGGCCAACTCCTCGCCATATTCAATTATGTGAGTGATTGGCATATTTGAGGGTGGGAATGTGAAATTAGTTCATACAGGAAGTGACTACCAGCAGTCAGTAAGCAAGAACAAGCACCTCTCAGCTTCTTTGTTTGGGGCTATATAAAGTCCAAAATCTAAAATATCACGATATGTCAGCACAACAGAACTTTATTTTAAGAGAGAAAAAACCCAAGCGTTTGGTGACTTTATGCTGTACTTTTAAAGATCATTGGCCCATCGATCCATCTTCAGCAGCCCCAATTCCTCCATCTGAGTCCCCATACAGTGAACAACTTCATTTGACACCAACAACTAAGGACAATGTTAGCGATAGAACTGGCTTGGACTATTTAAGCAGGTGGTGCATTATTTTATTTATGATGTGTCAAAACATGCACCACCGAGTAAATCTGTCTATATATTGTACATGTGTTCAGTTTAACTAACAAAGCTGTCAGTGAACCAATGGTTAGTTAAAGGTATCTGGGACTACATGATTAAATCTTTCCCCCATCAAGTCATCATCTCCCAAGACATCCATTCCAGGGGAAGGCCACTCTTTCCCAAGTATAGCATCCAGAGCCTATGAAAATATGCTGGATAGTTGTCCTATATGGTTGACAGAGTGGGGGTGGTTCATGAGCCATTAAATAGCCATGTGTGAGCCAACTGTCATACAATCTAAGTCACTAGCCTTGACATGTAAGCTGTTAGAGGACTTTAGCAAAAAGCACATGTAGAAATACGCAGTCCTGTATTTTTAATGCTATGTGATGCGGTGTTTGATTTTGGAATGAAACATCACAGATATTTAGCATGAATATATACTTTTTTTTAACCAGCCCTACTTGAAAATTTTAAATCTAGTTAAAATAAAAATTCTCTTCCAATTTTTCTTTAAACAATCCAATTTTGTTTAACAATGATTACAGGAAATAATAGTTTATAATAAATAATAGTTAATATTATTATTATTAATTTTTAAGGGCGTTTTAACGGCTAAGGTCATTTCACGCCCTATTATGCATTTTTATAGCAAATTAATTATTTATTAATTTAATTACATAACTTAATTAACCGATATTTTCTGACGTTGATCAATATCAAATTTGCCTTAAACATATCGTCCATGGGTTATTAAAAATGGCAAGGACCTGCAACACTGATAAACTTTTATTTCCGGCATTCTTCAGTATTATCTTCCTTACTTATCTTTATTTTTTAAGATATTTATTCAGGTTAAGTATTCTGAGTTAAATTCATAAAATTAAACCCTTGACTTCTTAATATATTTATTGTATTAAGTATAAATATACATATATGCTGTATATATTAATTGTACATAAATTTATGCATGGAGATCACACATCAATTTATGAGAAAAAAATTTACAAAACTTTTTTTTTGTCAAGTCTTACTATTCTAATATTGCTCCTAATGGCTTATCACAACTTACAATAGGTCATGAAATAAATAAATAAGGCTATAAAGTTTATGAAAATTTCAAAGAAATGTATCGAACTCGTATTGCAATTTGGAAGAGAAAAATGCATAAAAACGAGATGAGATCGTATATTTTAATTGTTCAAGCAATTTCTAGTATATAACATATTCGACGTGGTTATAAAGATCATAATTCATACTAAATAAATAAAGCTATGAAGTTTATTAAATTTGCTCGGATTGCATATTTCAATTTAGAATGGAGAAATGTATAAAATGAAAAGAAAATTTATATTTATACTGGTTACGTAGTCTAGTATAACTTTTTTTGTCTCTGATTATTCATATTGTAATCTGTTTTAAAATAAAAATTCAAAGCCATAAAATTAACGAAATATCCAAAACAAGAATCATTCAGAGCTCATATTTAAATTTAGAAGAGAGAATTATACATTTCTCTCTGGATGAGAGATTGTACATTTTGATTGTTCATGTATTCTAATATACTCTATGTGATTATAAAAATCATAATTGGCCATAAAATAAATAAATAAAGCCATATAGTTTATTAAATGTCCAAAGAAAAACTGGCCTGGGTCTCATATTTCAACTAGAAAGGGGAAATGTATAAAAACAGAAGAACATTTATATTTTTAATCTTTATACAATCTGGTATAATCCTATGTGATTATTCAGATCACAATCAATCCTAAAGTAAACAAACGAAGCCATAAAATTTGAGGAAATAGACAATGAAAAATTCACATGGAACTCATATTATTTTCAGTACAGTTTAATTCATGAAACTAAGTCTCAGCCTTCTTAAAAAAATTCTAGATTTGTTTAATATATAAATACGTGTCTATTAAATAAAGTTATAAGAAATTTATTCAATTATAGTGTAATTTAGAAGGTCCTCTGACTTATTCATCTAACCAATATCTTTTTTTTTTTTCAACAATCCTTGATACTTAGTGGATATTAATCATTTTAACGGATGAATGACTCGGCTTTTGTCCACCGAGTGCCCTTGTAATGCTAAATCTAGTTCTCAATCCACCTCAAATTAATTATCTGTGATGACCTCAATCTGAAGGATGGGGGTGTTTCATAACACATTTTCTTCAAAGTATTAAACAATTAAAGGTACAATTGATATTTTAAGAAAACATTTAAAAGTTGTTTTTTTTCTTTCCAGAGGAAAATTTAATCAAATTAATGTAAAAAGTTGCGTAATAGATTGATAACAGTAGGCCATTTGTTGTTGGCTATTTTAATTTCTGACAGTTTAATTGCATCCTTATCTTACCAAGAATTTTATAATATTTCACATTGCGATTATAAAACAATACTATCTATATGTTAGATACCGAAGCAAAAGCTGACTAATTACAAATAGTAGGGATTTATTGCACAGTTTAAGTGGGTGGAGGCAGGCTCAAGATTAGTCACATGTGTAAATTTGTTTATGCGTTTTTTTATGGCTTCAATATATTTTATAAAAACTTTTAGGTTTATTTTTATTATAAATCCTCCTGTTGAGGATGAAGTTTGATTGATTATTTAGGATATGATCTGAGTTTATTAAAATTTTAATGTTTTAACGAGAATCCCTTCAAAGTTAATTAGTTCTTAACAAAATTGTGTTTCTTTTTGTGGGTCAATCATTACTGATTATACTTATACTAGCCTGTTTTAGAGTATTCTGTGTTTTGTTAAAAGTTAAAAAACAACTAATGTACAAATATATTCATTGAATTTCAGTTGTAATTTTATGTATGATTCATAGTTATATAAATTCAACGTCTGTAATTTATTTGACGTGTGATTCAACGTCTCTTGAACATTAAAATGTTGAACTTTACTTTTTTTCATTTTTAAATTATGCTGTGAACAAAAAAATAAATGTCAATGCAATCATTTTTCTATATTGAGTGACAATTGAAGGTTCGTTTAGCAAAACTTTAGAAGAGAAGGATGCCAGGTTTTTTCCTTTTTTAAATTGGTTTTACGATTTGAGATGCTTGGAGTATCCTGTTCCTTGTCTGACATAACATCTTTATACTGAATACTATATTCATTCTTTAAATAAATAACAGCAAATTTATGAAAAAAATTCAAAAGTAAGATTAGCATGGAAATCATATATCACTTTATATGAGAGTGTTTAAAAACAAGCGGAAAGCATTTTGTTTACCTACTGACTCTGATAAATATTGCTTCTAGTCATTCAATAGTGAACAGTAGGTCATAAAGTAAATAAATGAGACAATAAAATCCAAGAAATATTTCTAAACATTTGCATGGAAATCACACATTAATTTATGAGAGAAAAATATACAAACCCATTATAAAAAAGATTTTGCTTGTTGACTGAGTCTATTATTCCAATATTGTTCTTAACGACAACACAAATTATAATAGGCCATAAAATAAAGAAGGCCATAAATTTTATGAAAATTCCCAAAAAATATTCGCATGGAACTCTTATTTCAATTTAGAAGAGAGGTGTATATTTTAATTGTTTGTACAGTCTAATGTAATTCTATGTGGTGATGAAGATCATAACTGGTCCTAAATAAATAAATAAAATGATAAAGTTTATTAGATCCAATTTATAAAGTGGAAATTTATAAAAAGGTTGTATTTTTATTATTTGCACAGTCCAGTACAATTCTATAAAATTATTCAGATCATAATCAGTACTAAAATAAACATACAAAGCCATAAAACAGATGAAATATCCAAAGAAAGAATCACATGGAACTCATTCAATTTAGAAGAGAGAAATGGATAACAATAGGACGCAAATGTATATTTTCATTGTTCATGAGTTAATATATTCTATGAGATTATTAAAATTACAATTTGTCTTAAAAAATATAAATAAAACCATAAACTTTATTAAATATTCAAAGAAAGATTGGCCTGGATCTCATATTTCAATTTAGAAGGGAAAAATGGATAAAAACAGGGTGTAAATGAATATTTTCATTGTTCATACAGTCTAATATATTCTATAAGATTATTTAGATCATAATTTGTCCTAAAATATATAAATAAAACCATAAACTGTATTTAATATCGAAATAAAGATTGGCCTGGTTCTCATATTTCAATTTAGAACGGTAAATTGGATAAAAACTGATGGATTCATAAAGCCGTAGTGTTTATGAAGCTCATGTCTTTTTTTTTTTTTTTTTTTTGCGTTATGAACTATGCATGCATATTAGCCATGTGACAATTCTTATATGTGTGTTCAAATTGGGGGGGGGGTTTATTGTGAAAAAAGGGCCAGAGGCGACGGTGGGAATTGAACCCACGATCGCGGCGTGAGAGTCTCTCATGCTAACCACTCGGCTACCGCGGTCCCCATATGTCAATTTAAAGAGGAGAAATGTATGAAAACAAGATGAAAATGTATTTTTTGATTATTTATACAGTGTAATTCTTCTAATATTGTTCCTTGTAAGTATGAATATCAAAGTAAGTTTTAAAATAATTAAATAAAGCTGTAAAAGTTATGGAATTATAAATAAAAAAATCACATGGAAATCCTATGACAATTTGAAAACGAGATGAAAATATATATTTTGTTTGTGTACACAGTCTAATATAATTCAATTTGATTATACAAATCATAATTGATGATAAAATAAGCAAACAAAGCCATACAATCGATGAAATCAAATTATTATTTCAATCTATATTTTGAATGTTTAAGCATTTTAATTTCAATTGTTTAAACTAATGAATGATTTAAGTTAACTTAATTTTATTAACATCAATGAATATTTTTATTTGTTTAAATTTGAATGCTATTCGGGTACTAATTCATTGAATTAATTTAATAGTGTTATATTTTGTATTTTCTTGATTATTTAGGAAGACAAATTTCAAACAATAATCAATTAATTAAAGTAGAATTTATTTGTTTTCAACATAAACTTACTCAGGTATGCACTGTTATTAGGGTCGTTTGAATAACTGTTGTCACAAGAGTAAAAGTTGATGGAAGAAGAGAAAAAACCTGTGGTTCTACTTTCACTCTTCTCAGTTGTATTGTTGTAGGATGAAAGGCCAAGGCAAGGTAATGCCAGTGTGATTTTTATTTAAGTTTCCTTCTGTTTCACCATTAAGGATGAATCAGATGAATCTTGATCCCTTTTTATTTATTTGTGCATTGTATAAAATGAATCTTGTCTTAAGAACGGATTATGACATAATTGGAGAGGTGGGAAAAGTTTTGCACGGCCAGTAGTTAGTGGCCAAGGCCGTTGACGATTATTCCATTTCCTACCAGCCTTCCTTGGACAGTTAGTGTTAGTCCTCTCTGTACTGTGGTCCCGTAAGCACTACTTTTCAAATCGAAAACATGTCGCGCCACCAGAAAATTGTTGAATTTCTCAACGAGAAAAATGTAAGTTTTGTTTTGAACATGTTACAAGCATTGATTATTTTTAATATAGTTTTATTATCGGTTTATACATTTTTTATTTCAATAACTATGTGATATATTTATTAAAATTTTATTTCTATCAAGTTGGCGTTTGTGTAATAAAGTAACAAAAATCTTTAAAAATTAGTAAAATTAAAAAGAAAAACTATGCTTTAATAAGTTCCTAGTTAGCATAATAAATTGATTTTTAAAACAAATAAAATCTGAAAGGATTCAAAGCAATGTATTTTTATAAACAGATCAATTTCAGAATTTGTTCTGCTTTTACTATTAAATGATTAATAAAAAAAATTTAAAAATCTTTTTATTTCTTTACAATAGACTGGTTTTTCTAGTACTTTGGTGAGAGTAAACAAATTCTTTTATCATCACTAGGGTGAAAAAAAAAGATAGTGTCATCGAAAATAAAACCCATTCAATTGTATGAATAATCAAAGTGTGTGTTTAATTTATATAAACTCGATATTTAATTAAAATTAATATTATTTTGGATTATTAGTTTTCTTTCTAATCAATTGATGGATTATATTACAATTCTAATCAATTCCTATTGGAAAAGGGTTCAAGGCGAGATTGATTTTTGAATTTTCAAAACACTTAGAGTTAGGGCAATTTAATAATTAATTAGTCCAGTTGAACGATTGTCTTCCGAGGCAAAATTACATAGTTTGACCTAGTTATTTCTTTTTTGTCTTTTAGTGCTTTAAACATGACACAAATTTGGTTTGAACAATAAATTCACCTCTACAGTTTTTTAAAATGTATAGTCATTAATTTAATGTATACATATGTATTATACTTTAACATTATCTTAAATTGAAAAATTAAAATAAATTGTCAGCAATCAAATTTACACATTATTTATTTATTCTTGTAATGATCTTTGAAATTTATATCATTTTATCAACGAAAAGTTCATAATTAAAGGGTTTTATTTCAGTTTAAATATTTTGGGCTTTTTAAATGTAATATCTTTCTATAATATGAAGGTCAGCAAACAGGAAAAAGTTATGGTGTAATTGGTCTATCTCTAATAAAGCTTAATTGTTCCAATTTATTCCAGTTGGGGACGGCTGAAATGTTTATAAAGATGAGGGACAATTTGAGATAGAAAAAGAAAAAAAAAATAATATGCAAATGAAGCGTATCGTTGAATTGGCAAAGTAATGCTAATGAGTTGTGAGGAAGATGATAAAATTCAAGGTCCTGTGGATTTCCATTCATGAACATTTATCAATTCTTCTATTGCTCATGTTTAAAAGGGTTGTTTATTTAAAAAAAAATCATATTTAGGGCTAATTTGATTTGAGATTTTATTTTTATTAATTAAAAAATATGATTCATAAATTAAAAAGAACAAAAATTTGACCATCTTAAGTTGTTAAGTTGAAAATTTTAATTTTATATATTTTCTTATTGTCTTGTTTTTGTTCCCAGTGCGCACAAGTGGCAACAAATGTCACCGAGCAGAAGCACAAAGTATCAAGGGATCACAGAGGACAGGTTCTCGGAAATGTCAGAGGGTTCAGAGGGTGCACGGTCTGGTTCACTGGTAAGGAAAAATACAATATTAAAAAAAAGTTAGTATTTTCCAGAGGCTAAAAAAATGTTGCACAACTGTATTTACACTGTAGTAAATTTGTGTTATATAACAGTTCACGGTGCTTCCCTTGATTTATCTTGCCTTGGCTTTCCCCCTTTCATGTCTTCTTACGACCGGGATTTCCTTGCCAGCCGATTTATTGATATTTTATCAGTAAGATTTTTTTTTTTACATTTATATTTATTGTTTTTGTAATTAAAAGATTAAATGTATGTCCTTACATGTAATACAAAAAAGTAACAATTTTTTTCCCCTTTTGAAATTTTTTTGTATATTACGAGTAAATGTTTACATACTAATTTAAATATAAATGTGGTGAAATTTCGTATGTAAGGACTGATAAAACAGGCAGAAAAGGTTTAAAATCATGGTCAACAGTCGAAGCATTTTGAATTTAAAATAATTTATTTTTTGATGCCAAAATGTTGGCTTTTTCCATTTTATTAAATTCTTATTGGACGAAGTTTATATGACAATTCTATACCAAAGTGCAGAAAATTAACTTGAGAAATTTTGTGAATGATCAGGCAGACAAGATATAGCCAATCTTCATTTAATTTGATCCTGTAGTATATAGACAAAAGTTCAAAAATTCTGGCAAATAGCATCTAATTCTTTTGGTCTGGCTATTAAGAAAATAAAATTATGCAAGTTATTTTTGTATTTTAGGCCCCATCCATGAATTCATCACTGCTGATTTTATGAAAAAGTTGAATATGGATCAAAGACTAATAGATCATCATTTTAACCAATTTTCAACCATTTCCTTTTTCTTAAAAAAACTATTTATTTTCTCCTGCTAGTGAGACATTAAAGAACATATAATTTAGTGTCTCTTAGATTTGTTTAATTGTGGAATCAATGCTACTGATTTTACAAAAAAAGTTATATTCTAAGATCAAAATATCACCAATTGAGCCAATTTTAGTCCATTTCTTTATCATGAAAGTGAAATATAAAAAAAAGTAATTAAGTGTCCTTAGACTCGTTTAGACCTCAGTTATGGCTTCATCACTACTGATTTTATGAAAAAGTTGAAGAAGATAAGACCAAAAGCTCGACTATTTAGCTCATTTTCATCCATTTCTTTTTTCATGCTAGTAAGATATTAAAGGAAATACAATTTAGTGTTTCTTAGATTTGTTGAGGCCCCAGTAGTGTAGTACACAGAAACAATTTTGGTGAAATTTTTAAAATGAATCACTCAAAAAGATTAAACCAATTTTTATTTTCTTGTTTGCTTTGAACAGACTTGTAAATATTTAGATATTTTTTTAATTATAAAAAAATATTAATACCTGAAAGTTGAATAAAATTCAATTTTTTTTAGTCTGAGAGTTGAGATAAACAAATAACTGGGGTCCTCTTGTGAGTTTTTAGGCCCCAATTATTATGTATAATACACAACTAATTTGGCCAAATTTTCAAAATGGATATATCAAAAATATTTACCTAATTTTCATCAATTCTTTTGTCCTGATAATGATAATATTAAAATAAGCATAAGTAAGAGTGCTCCTTAGACTTGCTTAGGCCCCAGTAGTGGTTTCATCATTTCATCACGACTGGTTTTACAAAAAAGTTGAAAATGGATCTACAACCCAAAGATCAACAATTCAACAAATTCACCCATTTCTTTTGTCCTGAATGTGAAATATTAAAGTAAAATTAAGAGTGTTCCTTAGACTTGTTTAAGCCTCATTTGTGGATATGGATAACCAGTTTTGAAAAAAAAAAAAAAAAAATGTAAACATCAAACCACTAACAAAAAATTTTAATAATTGTCACCAATTAATGTACGATGTTATTTTTATTTGATAGCCGAACAGAGTTTTATTCACATTTTGGTCCCAGTTTTAGATTACTCACTACTGATGCAATTTCAAAAGTCCAAGTGCTAAAAGTTGTATCGCTTGGATAATTTAAATTCAATTCTTCATTCATTCCCAACAGAGAGGTAGTAAGGATAGTTCAATTATTTTGTGGATCTTACAAAGGTTTATGATATGGATTCCCCAGTACCGACAAAACATTAAAGATAGATTTGACCAAATCCTTTGTTGATAAGTTAGAGAGATATTGAATATACAAATAATTTTTTTTCCTCGAAGAGCCCTCATCAGAATTTTTACCTATTTTTCCCGCATTGTGTATATTTTTGAAACAAAATACATGCAAAGAAATGTCTGAAATTGAACGATTTTTATTTATTGTAACATTGGTATTTGATAAATTGGCAAATTAATTAATTTAACAATTCTATGTTGTGATATAGTAATGATTTTGTGAATTTTAATTGTTATTGAATTGTTTTTGTTATCAGGCCTTTCCGGAGCAGGGAAAACTTCTATTTCATTTAACCTCGAGGCATACCTCGTCTCAAAAGGAATACCAGCATATGGTCTCGATGGTGACAACATAAGAACTGGTCTTAACAAAAATCTCGGGTTCAGCCCAGAGGACCGTGAAGAGAATATAAGAAGAGTTGCCGAAGTTGCCAGGCTTTTTGCAGACAGTGGTGTTATCGCCCTGTGCAGTTTTGTCTCACCATTCGCTCCAGTAAGTCACTTTATAATAAGCCTTTGAAAGTTATCACAGAAGAGGTTTTTTTAGGACCGTGAAATGGCAAGGAATGTCCACAAGCAGAACGACCTGCCATTTTTTGAAGTTTTCGTCGACACACCTATCAACGTCTGTGAGCAAAGGGATGTTAAAGGGTTGTACAAGAAGGCGAGGCAAGGGGTCATAAAGGGATTCACAGGAGTCGATCAGCCATATGATGTCCCGGAGAACCCTGATTTAGTTTTGAAAACTGTCGAAGGCTCGATTGAAGATTGCAGCCTCCAAGTTGTCAAACTCTTAGAAGAACATGTAAGTCCTTTAATATTATAGTTTGTGATTATACAATACATTTTAAACTTGAACAGGGAATCATTCCTCTTTTGGAACGTCCTGGTGGTGAAGTTATGGAATTGTTCGTTGACAGCAACAAGCTCCCGAGTGTTCTCAGTGAGTCAAAACAATTCAAGAAGTTTGAACTTAGTGAATTAGACTTACAATGGGTGCAAGTGTTGAGCGAAGGCTGGGCAACTCCGCTCAACGGGTTTATGAATGAGCAGCAGTTTTTACAAGTATGTGTGTATTTCAATAGTTTCATAAAGCTTTATTTGTTCATTTTTATATTACTTTTTCAGACTTTACATTTCAATTGTCTACAAGATGGACACAACCAGTCTGTCCCTATTGTGCTTCCTGTATCAACAGAGGACAAAGAAAGGCTCGAAGGTGAGCCTGCGATGACCCTCTGCTACAAAGGAAAAGTGGTTGCAGTTCTACGAGAGCCTAAATTTTTCGCCCACAGGAAAGAAGAAAGGGTCTGTCGACAGTTTGGGACATGCCACCAGGGCCATCCTTACGTAAAGGTACAACTTAAACAATAATTAATTATTCAAAAATGAATTCTTACACAAAAATGACCACGTATTTATCAGTCTATTGAACACTGATATTATGTAACAATTGAATATTGTTGGGTTACATAATAAAATGCATTTATGCAGAACGGAGAATTCTAATGGATTGTTCTGAAGCAAAATAAATGAGTTTAAAGTCAAGGTGAGCTTATGTAATAATTTCTATAACATTTAAAGAGGGGGATTTGAATAAATGAAAACCTGTACAGTTGATTGTTCATTACCATCAATCATGTACAGGTATTCTTATTCTTTTGTTATTGCTGCTTAGTAATAATCATAACATTTTATTTACCAATAAAAGTTTTTTATGTTTAATTAAATGTGTTATGTTGTGCTATATTGGAAATTTCAAGAAAAAAATTGGTTATTTTCCATTAGTTTTCGGTTGAAAGTCAGAGTCTCAGTAAGAGTAAATCCATTGATCTTTTTTTGTTTTAAAACATAATAAAATTCATAAAAACTTTAGAGGTGCATAAACGCGCAAATAATAGGCTGGATGGATTTCTAAGTTAAAATTGGCGATGAGGTAGGGCAACAGCAAATGCAGTAATACTTGAGGTTTGGACTGAGCTATCACCATGAGAATATGTTTTTAGCTCAGTACTTTTCACATACTCTTACATAAAGCAATGATACAAATAAAGACTTATTGATGTTATTAGCTTGAGGAAGAATAAAGACTTTCAAACAATCTGTACCTTTTGGGTACAACAGTACCTCAAAAATCAGCACATATCATTGAAATATGTAGTAATTATTGAGGCCTGAGCTGTGCTGTCTAAACATTTTTTTCTCTTGCTTTTCTCATTTTTATATCTTATTATCTCTTCCATGTACTGCAACAGCAATGAAGAAAACTAGGCAAAGTAAAGATACAAATAAAGACCCATAAATGTTACCAGCTGGTGATGAATTAAAGTTTCAAAACATTAGGAATGGTTTAATCCTCGAGATTAAACTGGACTTTTTTGATACTGTGATGGATTGGTCCAACTTGAAAATCCTCACTTTAACCACTAAGAAGGAATTTCCAAGGAAAAACCTGTGAGGGTTGAAACTTCTTGGGTTCCCTTCTAGCTTGCTGGATGGGATAGGTTCATGTATGTTCATTTGTTACATGGATAGACCAATAAAAAGAAAAATGAAACAAAGTTTAAAAAATCTATGGGATATAAATAAACGAATAAAAATAAATCTACACCGAATTTTTAATTCCAATAATTATCAAATTAGTATATATAAATCTTGACAGCATTAAAATCTATCCTTAAATAATCCTTCACCAAAATTATGTTAAAAACAAGAAAATATCAATTAAACACATAATTTAAAAGGTTAATAATACTGTCAATGTAGTTAGTCATTGTAATTAATAGTATTAATTATTTTAATATTTTAATTAATTATATGTTTCATTTCAACCAAGACCTTTTAATTAATTAAAATATTTTTTACTTGATTCTTTTGGTTTGAGAGTAGAGATCAAGAAAAGATTGTTAAGGATATCTTCTCTTCCTGAGTTTTTAGGCCCCAGTTGTGGATTTCACACAAAACTTTTTTTAAATTTTGAAAATGGAGTGTCAAGACAAGTGTCAAAACAATTTAGCTAATTTTTATTTCCTTTGTTTCTGTAGGATATTAAGAATTTTTGCTTTCAGCGGGCAGCTTGTACAAGTTTAGATCCTGGTGAGGTATTTGCAATAATACCAAAATTTTAATGTTTGAAAGTTGAATAATTCTGTGAATTTTTTATCCAATTCTTTTGGTCTGAAAGTTGAGATTAAAAAAATATGATTATGCAGTTCCCGTTCTTGAGTTTTTAGGGCCCAGTCATAGACAACAACAACCAATTTTGCCAAAATTTTGAAAATGTTTCAGTGTCCAAAAGTTTTAGCTTATTTTTATTTATTTTGTTACCATAGGATATTAAGAATTTTTGCTTTGAGCCGGAGGATTGTAGACATTTAGATCCAAGTGTTGATTTCTCAATAATGACAAAATATGGATGAATGTTGAAAAATTCTGTCAATTTTTTAATTATTTTTAAAATTCCAATTGGTTAACATAATAGTTTCAAGTGTGATAGACTTTTATATCTACCTGTCAAAAGTAAATTCTATGACAACTATATTATTACTGCCTCAAATGTACATTGATCAATTTTTAATATAGTATAGTTACTGGGAAAAATTCATTGGCATTGATTGATTACATGGCATTCCTAGTCCTACTATGAATCAGGTTGGGTATTGAGTGACTTTTCGGTACACACATAGCTTAAAATTAGGTGTTGTGACAACCATGTAAGGCCTATTCCTGAGTTGGGTGAGAGTGATTCTCCATTGCAGGTTCTCGGAGGACCAATAGAACCATGACATTCTACTGAGTAGCCATGTTTATGCTGGAAAAGGAACTGTATAACTTTTTTGTTTAAATAAATTAATATCACTTCTTGTATGTTTCAGATGATTTATGAAAGTGGTGACTTCCTAGTGGGAGGCCGCCTGGAGGTTTTTGAAAGGATTAAGTGGAATGATGGCCTTGATGAGTATCGTTTGACTCCAAATGAGCTAAGGGCTAAGTTCAAGGAGATGGGAGCAGATGCCGTATTTGCATTCCAACTTAGAAACCCGATTCATAATGGGCACGCATTGCTCATGCAGGACACACGTGATAAGCTTCTAAGCAGGGGATTCAAGAAACCCGTACTGCTTTTGCATCCTCTTGGTGGCTGGACAAAGGAAGATGACGTTCCGCTGCCGACTAGGATGAAACAGCACGCAGCTGTGCTTAAAGAACGCGTACTCGATCCTGAAAGTACTGTCTTGGCAATTTTCCCTTCGCCCATGATGTACGCTGGACCTACTGAAGTAAGAATCAGTAATTTTTTTAAATAAAATTTTCTATAGTAAATTTTGTCTTTAAGGTCCAGTGGCATGCTAAAGCGAGGATGGCTGCAGGGGCGCAGTTTTATATAGTGGGGCGTGACCCAGCTGGTCTGCCCCATCCGGATAAATCAGTAGGAGGCGATCTATATGATCACACTCACGGCGCATACGTGCTGTCCACGGCGCCTGGACTGCCTCACCTTGAAATAATACCATTCAAGGTGGCGGCTTTTGACAAGTCCAAGGGCAAAATGGACTTCTTCGATCCTAAAAGGAAGGATGATTTTGAATTCATATCAGGAACAAAGATGAGACGTATGTATATTTTACTGTATGCAAGTTTAAATAACTTTTTAGTTACAAATTTATTTATTTATCTGTTTAGATCTTGCAAGAACAGGTGCTCTCCCTCCAAAAGGATTCATGGCACCATCGGCATGGGACGTTTTGTCTAGCTATTACAAAAATGTCGAATGTTCATGAGAATTGTTTATAAAAGTACCATCATGTTAATCAGCATATGAATTTGCCACAGTGCCAGTTTTCATCATTTTCTTTCATATTACAAAAAACAAGTTTTATATCCAAAACAGAAAACTTTGTTGCAATATAAATTTTATGATTTACTTGTTGATCAATTTTGTTGAATGTTATTCATTAAAGCTGTGCGACGTGTTGACGGTTTGATCTTGTTGGAATATTAAGCAATGCCAAAGACTTGTCAATTTATCACTGTTTACACCACTAAGATACCTTTTATTGTTTAAATTTTATATAAGTATAAATAATAAAAATATTAACTGTTGTAAATTCAAATATATTCTCGAGTTACAAGAATTTTTTCTCTAACTGTCCAATTTTCCTTTTCCAATCAATGTTTTGCTCCTTGTATTTGTCTGTTTTTGCTTATTCCCTGAGATTAAATTGATAGAATTTGCTCAATAAATGTTTAAATAAAAATAAATTTATGGACAGGATTAAACAAAACAAGCTGAAGTTTTATTTTTTAATCAAAAATAATAAAGGCCTTGTATACATGTTAATTTAAAGTGTTACAAATATACATAATTTGTTCTTCCTGGCATTAGTCTTTAAGTATGCAGGCATGCCCAAAAATTAATGATGGATAAGAGCCTAGAAGCGCAGAAATAGAGGTAGACACTGATCCAGAAATTATGATATATATGTACGATTACTGGAGTTTACTGTCAGAGAATGTCAGAATGACACAAAAAATAACAGAACAAACAACAGGCCAAATGATTTTTTGGGGATTGAGAGATGTAGGTTTAGAAAAACATTTTCTTTATGGTGCCAACGTGTTAATCTTTATTGAGATCATCTTCAGGGCCTGGAATTTAAATTAAACAATGTTTGTAAATCCCACACCCTGAAGACGATCTCAATAAAGATCGAAACGGCACGATAAAGAAAATGTTTTTCTAAACCTACCGCAGACCGCATCTCATGATTTCCAAATAATAATTAATTAACAGTCACTAAACACCACTCCAACAAGCCAAATATCAAGCTAAAGATGGTTTTGTGGCCTTGTTCCCTAGATATTGGCCAAGGATGTATGGTTTGTTGAACAGGTGCTTAAAGGCACCCATGGAGGCCTCTACCCCATCTACAACCAACAAGACAAGAGAAGCGAAAGGCTTGCCTTTTGACTATTTTCCCACTTACAAAGGTCCACCAGAAGAAGTGAATAAAAAATTAAAAAACTACATCTAGGCGGACAAGTCCACATTTCCCAATCATATAGAGCCTAATATGCTCAGGAACTCAACCCTTTCCCACAGAACACTGGCACCAGCCGGACTGACCAACCCAGATGCCGCCCTCATCCGTCCCACCAGGAGCTAAAGACTTGAAACATTTTTCAATCGACTCAGTACATGTTAAGGTGGCTCCAGACACATGGTATTCGCTGAATCCTAAGCAAAGGTTCACCGGATCCCTAATAGTGTAGATTATTTTATTCGCTGTGAATTGTCGCTCGGCTAATTGTCGGTTTCCTTATATGCTTCTAAGTGCACAAATATTCGTGAAGTAACTGAACTCAAAGCATCCACATATCCGGGAACCGTACTGTACGTACATCATCTATATATACAAAAGAGTTCTGTGACTGACTGACAGCAATGCACAGACCAAACCACTGGATCTAAAGGGCTGAAATTTCAACAGTGCATTCCTATTACCAAAAAACATAGTCCCACATGGATGTGGATAAAAGCTAGTCTATACATATTATACAGTAATCATCAATGAACAGTAATTATTTGTCGATAATAAACGATTCCTAACTAGTATAGATGTACTAATGAAATAACAACATGGTTTCTGTTGGTTAAGAATGGATTGGCCCAACATGACAGTCTTGGGGTTCCTCGATCTGTACCAAGCTGAACCAATAATTTCAAATGCTTCTCTTCCAAATCACAAAAATTGGAACGAGGTTTTCAATGCGTGAAAATAGATTGAAAGTAAATTGTGGCAACTCTCTGTGATTGATTTGTGACTGAGTTTGTAGCCACAACACAGCTGCAAAAAATGAGTTTCACTGCTGTCCATCACAACAGGTAATAAGTTGAGGACTCGCAACGGCACTTGGCAAATACGTATTCGCTGTTTCTGCACAAACTGGCTGGTTGTAAGAACCTCGCAATGTGTGTATACATAGTCACGCTATTTGACGAATGCCAAGACGAGCATCTCGAGTCTTGGCAAATGTTTGGTATCAATCGGCATTCGGCGAATACCACATGTCTGGAGCCACCTTTAGAAGAGCGTACAATACAATACTGTGAATTCTGTGCAATTTATTTAATAACAGACATTTTTTGGTTATACTAAGTGTTCTTGTTAAGCACATTTTTCAAGAGGTAGGTTTTCATTTTTTAAAGCATAGCTTAAAGGGTAGAGAACTTTCAATATTTGGGCACTTTAATGAGAGAAAAATAAACATACAAAAGACTTAAAAAATAAGCGTTAAGTACAACCCACAAAATTACTGGTATGCTGAAATAGTTCCTATGGAGTAGTAATGTGATGAAAGACTTAATGAATTTACATTAAATGTAATGTCAATAAAAGGCGCAAACCCCAATCCTACATTTTCACTTTGGAATGTTTTCAAAAAGGATTTTACAGAATCATTTCGTTTTTGGATATTAATAAAGCATTTTTTTTCACAACACCTTTTAAATAAGAATCCAGGAAATTATGGACTTTTTTAGATAAGAAGAAAGTAGAGTGATAGAGCTATCAGTTTATCACTCTCCTTTTTTTACTTTTTATAAAAGATAGTTCTTACTTACAGTTTGTAGTTTTGGACTATACGGATTTCAAGTTTAAAGCTCGTCATCATCAGAATGAAATAAGTCACAAGCACGTCTCTCGACACGAACTGAAGGGTAAACCCGCCGCCGATCCACCGCCAACGCGACTTTCCAGTGAGAAACCGGTTATTATCTTAATGAACACTGTAAAAAAATAATTTTAAATTTGTGTTTTTATTAATTATTTATAATGTATAATAATTAATAATATATGTTTAATTTTACAAAATCATCTTTAAAAAAAGTTAAGCTACATACTCACTCAAACTTCATCATTTATATTAATATCAATGTCCGTTCTTAATTAAAAAATATACAGCAAATGATAGAAAGGAATGTAGAATGTTCGATATCGCAACTGATGAAAATAGGAGTACCTCAGGGATCCGTTCCGAGACCCCTCCTATATTTCATTTATTCCAACGGCAACGACAATAAAATTTCGCGCATAAAATTGTCAAGATTTCCTGATGATAAAATAATAAATTTTATTTCCAATGTATACATCAAATATATCCCAATAAAAAAAGTTTATAAGTGCTGAACGGCCAATTCAGGTGGCACAATGAAAAAGAAAACGCGGGACGCGATGAGTTGACGGTTTCGCGTGGCGGTGGACGTAAGTTACGCGGCTTGCGGTTCGAACTTCGATTTACAGAAAGTATAGTGCGCGTAAGTGTACAGTTAAGTTCGAATGGCCGGATTAAGACTGAGTTCCGTCCCCAAGGCGACTTCATACTCAAGTAATGTAAATAGTTTTAAGTTAGGTTAAGTAATCCATACATACTTACACCACACTTTTCCAAAAAACTCCAGCACCCCGGGGGTTCACATAACCTCGTAGATGAAATACCCTCTTTACAAAAAAATTACTTTTCTACTTTCATAAGATTAAAGATTCAATCCTATTGGAGTGGATCAAAAAAATATTGGCACTCTTTTAACTTTTATTAGGTTTCAGTTAAAAAAATCATTTTTTAAATATTTTCATTTCAAAAAAATAAACTGCTCAAAAATGAATAGGGATATTTATCATTTATTCTTATTATATTAATTTGAATTAAATTAACCAATGCATTCTTGTTAGCTGGATAAAACAAAATAGAAAATACAAACAAAAACAAACAAATAGTAAACACAAAGCTTACTCATTTTGCAAACAAACACCTTTTCTCTATTTTAATCCAGTTGTATTCTTTTTACCTATGACATCTTGAACCAGAAGTTGGCAATGCTATTGTGAGAATGAATTGTCGAGGTCACCGGTAATAGGATATCATAGGGGCAGTTGAAGTGTCCCAGGTCTCCCGGGCTTTAGCCCAATTCCGTGAGACTGGAAGTTGCAATAGGAACTGGTCGATCTCAGTGCATTATGATGCTAAGGGAGGACAGAAACCAATGCATTCTTGGTTCGAATCCCACTCGTGACACTTGCTTTTTCAACTCAACCAAGATCTTAGATTAAAAATATAATTAAGACAGTCAATTATGACTACTAAATTCATATATGGATTAATATAATAAAGAACAATCATAATCATACATTGAAATAATCTAAAACTGCCAAAATTGAGACTAAATAGATCATGTAATCTATTTCTTTCTAATTGGCCTCACCACTGATCATTTTTCTAAAACTATCATTGCTGCAAGGCGGAAACCTTTCCATAATGCCAGATCCTAAATGCAGCGAGTGCCTAGAACACCGACTGGAATGATGTTATATTTACTGATGAGTCGCGTTTCTGTCTGTATAGTGACAGCAGGTTCCAAAGAGTCTACCGAGAACATTGGATGCGTACAATGCCCCAGTTCGTGCGCCCTTCAATGCAGTTTGGCAGGAGGCGAGTAATGGTCTGGGCTGGGATTGGTTTTTTTTAGGGTTGTTAGGTTGTTTTAGACCAATTCTTGGAGACAATTTTTTGGAAGTTGCAACCAATTTCACTTTATTGTTATTTAAGCATCATCAGACAACTATAATGATCTATAATATCTATATAATTTGTTTTTTGTTTTTTTTGGTGGACTATCAAACAACCTAGTTTCTCTTTTTGTGTATGTATTTCAGAACAACCTGTCCCCTCTACAGCACATTTAACAACTCTCACGTATTTGGTAGAATGTGACTGAAGATGACATGTGAATCACATTATGTTAGAGCTGTCAAATATGCTGAAGAGGGGACGGGTTGTGAAATATATACATAAAAAGAGAAACCAGGATATCCCAGTGTCATGTTTGATATCTTACTAAAAAGAAACCCACATCCGTTACAAGTGCCACAACTATAGGCAAAAGAGAGAAAAACGCATAATTAAAATAATTATTTGTCATAGGCACTTTGGATCTAGGTATGGTCATGAAGAAGAAAACAAATTCAGTTGTTATTGCTAAGCTTTCTACCTATTTTAAGGTCATCATCAGGGCAAAACAATCTTAAAAATGTCTACAGATTGACATATTTAAGTTTTTA